TAAGTTTTTAAAAATCATTAGTTGTCAAGTATGTTTTCAACAACTGTTGATGCCCAGGTAGGAAGTGAAGTTTATTTAAAGTTAGAATATCTGTAACTAGTACATTTTAAAAAAAAAAGAAAGAAAAAAAACCTAATTACACATTTTGGTAGAGAATAGCCGGGAAATTGCATCTGTAAAAAGAAAATACAGATTTTCCTTCAGATGAATTTGTGAACACCTGCGTGGCCCCAGGACTCTGAGAGGCAGGGCCCAGAATGAGTCCACGTGTTCTCAGCTCCTGCAGCTCTTATTTACTGTACCAATTGCTCTCAACCTCCTGGGATTCCTGGAAACCCGACAGCAACACTGTGTCTCGAGCCCACAGCGGGCACGCTGGCGAGGACTGCAGGCATGGTCATGACAGTTTTCAATAATTATATGTGTAGAATGTTTTTAACCAAAGGCCCCAAAGCATCCGAAGCCTGGCTTCAAGGTCGAGGAGTAAGGAGGATGAGTCTGGGACATGGGGTGGTTCGTGGCGTAGACCTCTGTTGTGGAAGTTTCACGATTGCATTCTTGGATATTGACTCGATTCTATATGGATCTCTCGAATGGAACCCCTGCGAGTAGCTGGAGAACTCAACCTTCTGGACAGTGATTTAGATGTTGACACCAAAGTCAGACACACGTGGTCTCCTGGTGCCCTCCAGTATTACGGCCGTGCGGAGCTACAAGCGTCTGATCACAGGTGAGGTCCTCACTTCCATGGTGCTTTCTCCTGTGTTGGGGAAGGCAGCATCTCCCTCTCCACAGGGAAATGCATGCTGTCCCCATAGGGATGTGTGTGCGTGTGTGGGTGCGTTTGCGTTCATACAATACACCAAAGAACAAAGAATGATAGAACAAATATCTGTGGACCCACCACCAAGAATTAATAAATGTTACCATTTTGTCATTGCTCCATATCATAAATGACATCATTTATGAAAATTTCAAAGATGCAACCTATGTATTTTGTGGCTTTTATATTTTCTTAAATGATGTCGTTGTGCAACTTGCTTTTTTGTTACTATTTTTGAGATACAGTCGTGTTGATGTTATAGATCTGGTTCATTCATTTGTAACTGCTGTGTAGTATCCCACTAAATAGGTCCATGGAACTTACAACTTACCCATTCACCTCTTGATGAATATTTTCTCCAGGATTTTATGATTATAAACACCATAGGGTTTTCAAATCTGGGATGCACTACTTTTTTTTTTTTTTTTTTGAGACAGAGTCTTGCTCTACTGTCCAGGCTGGAGTACAGTGGTGTAATCTTAGCTCACTGCAACCTCCGCTTCCACTTCCCAGGTTCAAGCAATTCTCCTGCCTCAGCCTCCCAAGTAGCTGAGATTACAGGCGTACACCACCATGCCTGCCTAATTTTTGTATTTTTAGTAGAGACGGGGTTTCACCATGTTGGCCAGGCTGGTCCCGAACCCCTGACCTCAGGTGATCCACCCGCCTTGGCCTCTCAAACTGCTGGGATTACAGGCATGAACCACCACACCTGGCCTTAGGATGCAGGGCTTTTTAAATGCTCTGTGCATCATGCATTGAGGATAGAGTTGGGGGCAGCAGAGGGAGCACCATGGGCACCAGTGCCTGTGCACTGGGATTGCTGCAGAGGAAGATTCACCCTGAAGAACGTCTTTAAAGACAGAGGAGAGAATGGCATTTGAGGGTGTGAAGAGGGAAGAGTTTGATTTTCCCAAGGCTGCTGCCTAAACACTCATGTCAGTTTCAACTTTTACAGGGAAAGAAATTAAGAAAAAGAAGGTGGGGAACAGCTGGTAAACCAAAAAACCTTTTTTTTTTTTTTGAGACAGAGTCCTCCAGGCTGGAGTGCAGTGGCACAATCTTGGCTCATTGCAATCTCCACCCCCAGGGTTCCAGTGATTTTCATGTCTCAGCCTCCCAAGTAGCTGGGATTACAGGCGTGCGTCACCATGCCCGGCTGATTTTTGTATTTTTAGTAGAAACGGTTTTGCCATGTTAGCCAGGCTGGTCTCCAACTCCTGGCCTCCAGTGATGTGCCCGCCTCAGCCTCCCAAAGTGCTGGGATTATAGCCACCATGCCGACTCTTTAGATATTTCTAAATTCTTTAGATACCTGTTGTTGCAAATACATACCTAGAAGTGAATCTTGAGGAATCTTCAGATGTGTGACGTCAAGGTTTGCTAGCTCAATGTATTTTGAAACCTTAATTTAACCAATATTTCTTGAGGGCCCTTACATGCCAGGCCCTGTTGCTGGCCTGGAGAAAAGCAGTGAACAAAACAGATGAAACCATGTTGTCATGGAATTTTCTGGACAGGACAAACAGACAATAAACAAACATAAGTGCTGTGAAAGAAAAAAAGTAGTGGCAGGAGTCAGGCCAGAGTTGAGCTATTTTCAATCAGGCTATGTAATTTTTGTAAGAAAGGATTTTCTGAAAATTTGTAGATAGAGTAATACCCATCCCTATGTCAGAATTACTATAAGGATTTGTATTATTTCCTGCTGGACTGTTTTCCTGTTTACATCATGGATTTTTACATTATTCCTAATGATTGCATAGAGTACTGCATGAATGTATCATAACTGTTTCCCCATTAAGAAACAAGAGCATTTTTGCCTGGTGCAGTGGCTCATGCCTGTAATCCCAGCACTTTGGGAGGCCGAGGCAGTCGGATCACCTGTGGTCAGGAGTTCGAGACCAGCCTAGCCAACATGGCAAAACCCTATCTCTACCAAAAATACAAAAATAAGACGGGCGTGGTGGCATGCGCCTGTAATCCCAGCTACTTGGGAGGCTGAGGCAGGAGAATCACTTGAGCCTGGGAAGTGGAGGTTGCAGTGAGCCGAGGTCGCGCCAGTGCACTCCAACCTGGCAACAGAGGGAGACTCTCACTCAAAATTTAAAAATAGAGCATTTCCCTTTTTTTCCCCTCCCATCAACAATGCTGTAAATGATCAACCTCATGCATTAAATCTTTGTCTGAATCCCTGGTCACTTCCTTAGAATAAGGTCCAAGAAATGAGATTACTAGATGAAAAGAGATGAACAATTTTGGAACTCTATGTAAAGTGCCAAGTAGCCCTCTGAAAAGCCTGCACCCCTGGCAGAGGGCAGATGTCTGCTTCCCCACCTCCTTGGCCTTGCTAAGGATCACCACGTCAAAAATCTTTGCTGATGGCTGGTCATTTTCCAAGTACTGGGATATGTTATCAGAGAACCACACTTTATTTTTTCCCCTCAAATCGTCTTTAGATAAAAATGCCAAGGTGATACTAAGATTAAGGAACGATGAAGACTAAAACACGAGGGCAGGGCAGCTAGCCTGCAAATCCACCTGCCGGTGGCCACATTCGCAGGTTGTTGGCGTTGATTGTTTACAGAGAGCCCTGGGGGACAGCAGCTGGGGACTGGAGGCCGGGGGTGTGGACATCTGTCCCAGGCTAACTGTCATCCCTCTTTTGTTGCTGTCTAACACAGACCCGTGCTGGCGATCGTGGAGGTGGAAGTTCAGGAAGTCGATGTGGGTGCTCGGGAGAGGGTTTTCCAGGAAGTATCCTCTTTCCAGGGCCCCCTGGATGCCACTGTTGTAGTAAACCTTCAGTCACCGACCTTAGAAGAGAAAAACGAGTTTCCTGAGGACCTGCGTGCTGAGCTCATGCAGACCTTGGGGAATTATGGGACAATTGTTCTTGTCAGGTAACTGCTCCCCTGGTTGATGTGGGTTCCAGGGGATGTCGGTGAGGATCCGTGAGAGCTGCCAGGTCATTCTTGGCACTGACTTGGCATATCATTTATTCCAGGATCAACCAAGGGCAGATGCTGGTGACTTTTGCAGACAGTCACTCGGCTCTCAGTGTCCTGGATGTGGATGGTATGAAGGTACGCTGTACTTGGCCACACTGTGGAGTGAGGTCAGATCAATCCCTATTTTTACGTGGGCATGTCTGCTCCCTCTTCTTGCCCTGACCTGTGCCCAACCTGTGACTTTTTTTTTTGGGGGGGGGGGGGGGGGGACAACGTCTTGCACTGTCATTCAGGCTGGAGTGCAGTGATGCAATCACAACTCACTACAGCCTTGAACTGCCAGGCTTACGCGATCCTCCCATCTCAGCCTCTCAAGTAGCTGGGACCACAGGCACATGCCACCACGCCCAGCTAATCTTTTAAATTTTTTGTAGAGACAGGATCTCACTCTGTAGCCCTGGCTGGAGTGCAGTGGGACAGTCATGGTTCACTGTAACCTCAGCCTCCAGGGCTCCAGTCATTCTCCCACCTCGACCTCCCAACGTGTTGAGATTACAGGCATGAGCTTTCATGCCTGGCCACCAATCTGTCTTTATGTATAGACACCATATGTGCGAGAGGGAGTTTGGATTCTTCACTCTGGTTCTGAGATGTCTCATGTCTGGCTCTGGCTACTTGCAAAATAGGGAGGAAGGGGGGGAACGGTGGCTTATGCTAATAATCCCAGCACTTGGTGAGGCCGAGGTGGGCAGATCACCCAAGGTCAGGAGATCGAGACCAGCCTGGCCAACATGGCAAAATCCTGTCTCTAGTAAAAATACAAAATTTAGCCCAGCATAGTGGCTTACACCTGTAATCTCAGCACTTTGGGAGGCCGAGGCGGGCAGATCATGAGGTCAGGAGTTCGAGACCAGCCTGGCCAACATAGTGAAACCCCGTCTCTACTAAAAATACAAAAATTAGCCAGGCATAGTGGCAGGTGCCTGTAATCCCAGCTACTCTGGAGGCTGAGGCAGGAGAATCACTTGAACCCAGGAGGCAGAGGTTGCAGTGAGCTGAGATTACACCATTGCACCCAGCCCAGGCGACAATGTAAGACTCTGTCTCCAAAAAAAAAAAAAAAATAGCCAGGCATGGTGGTGTGTGCCTCTAGTCCCAGGTACTCAGGAGGCTGAGGCAGGAGAATCACTTGAACCCAGGAGGCAGAGGTTGCAGTGAGCCGAGATTGTGCCACTGCACGCCAGTCTGGGTGACAGAGTGAGACTCGGTCTCAAAAAACCAAACAAACAGAATGGGGAAGAAGAACGTCAGTCACTGTGTCTCGCGTTAGAAGGCAGCTCTACCAGCAGCGGCAGAAGCTTAGCCATTTCAGAGTGTAGTTCTCGCCTAGTTACTTGATCTGTCTATGCTCGCACCGCCACGTGGGAGGCTGTTCCAATCTTTGCCTTTAGAGTATGTATTTTGGAATATGCAGCTCATAGATAGTTTCCATTTTTATAGTGTCTTGGCTTTAAATTTGTACCAAATGGGAAGCTGGAGATGACGGTTCAACTTTTTTTTTTCTTTGAGATGGAATCTTGCTCTGTCACCCAGGCTGGAGTGCAGAGGTGCAATCTCAGCTCACTACAGCCTCCGCCTCCCGAGTTCAAGCGATTCTCCTGCCTCAGCCTCCCAAGTAGGTGGGACTATAGGCACCCACCACCACGCCCCGCTAATTTTTGTATTTTTAGTACGGGCAGGGTTTCACCGTGTTGGTCAGGCTGGTCTCAAACTCCTGACCTCAAGGGATCCACCTGCTTCGGCCTCTCAGAAAGCTGGGATTACAGGTGTGAGCCACTGCACCCGGCCCAGTTCAATTTTTTTTCAACCAGATGTATGAGAGCTATGCTGAGCCTGCCTGGGGTCTGGATCCTTGGTTTTTCACGGCCAAACGTGAAGATTGGCCTCATTGTGGGTGTGTGGGTTTTAGTGAGAAGCATTGTGTGATCAGCAGGAGTGGTCATAATTTTTATTTATTCCTGGGTGGCTGCTCTGCCCTCCCAGGTGAAAGGCAGAGCAGTGAAGATTAGACCGAAGACGAAGGACTGGCTGAAAGGTTTGCGAGAGGAGATCATTCGGAAACGAGACAGCATGGCGCCCGTGTCTCCCACTGCCAACTCTTGTTTGCTGGAGGAAAACTTTGACTTCACAAGTTTGGACTATGAATCAGAAGGTTAGTGACCCTGCAGGGAAGGACAGGCAAGCCATTCTTCAAGCAACAGGCCTGAGCTTTTAAGGACACCTTCTAAAGCCTCCCTTGCAGAAGTGACAGAGGACACGTGCAGGGCAAGCCATCTGTCCCATGTGATGAGCCATGTTTGTATGTGTGGACGATGCATGCCGTGCTACCTGGGACCGGAGGCGTCTAAACTTAGGCTACAAACTGGCTTTGAGGATGTCAGGGCAGTAGGCATACCAAAGGAGTGGGGTACCATCCCTGCTGGCACCCTGGCCCTGGGCCGCGTGGCAGGGTGCAGGTGTCCTGACAGGAGCTGAACCAGTCCCACTGATGAAAGACCGAGCCTTTCCCCCTCATTGTTTTCACCCAAACTGTGATTCATTTCCTTCTCCCAGGGGATATTCTTGAAGATGATGAAGACTACTTGGTGGATGAACTCAGTCAGCCTGGAGTCTCGGACAGTGAACTTGGGGGAGACGACCTCTCTGATGTCCCTGGTCCCACAGCACTGGCTCCTCCCAGCAAGTCACCTGCTCTCGCCAAAAAGAAGCAGCATCCAACGTACAAAGGTAGCCCGACCCTTCTTTTCTCAGGAGCGTCTGCCACGGAGTCAGCTCAGGACAGATTTTTCTTTTTCTCTTGGTGCTCTGGCACTATGTGATACCAAGTATGCAGGTCCCAGGAGATACCTAAACCAGGCAGGCCAAGTGAGGGGTAGGGACTGAGCCCTGCAGAGGTAGCCAGCTCCAACACCCTGCTTTCCTCTAGTTAATTTTTTTTTTACAATAACTCGTACCCCCCATAACACACCAGATTCAAGATAATTCCTGTTTCCTCTGGATATTCAAATGTCCACGGTTCTGAACTGGTTTTGTATTTGTGATTATTTCCTGCCCCCAACAAAATTCTTCTGATTCGGCCAAGTGCAGTGGCTCACACCTGTAATCCCAGCACTTTGGGAGGCCCAGATGGGCGGATCGCTTAAGATCGGGAGTTCAAGACCAGCCTGGCCAACAAGATGAAACCCTGTCTCTACTAAAAATATTTTTTAAAAATTAGCAGGGCATGGTGGCGCGCATGCCTGTAATCCCAGCTACTCAGGAGGCTGAGGCAGGAGAATCACTTGAACTAGGGAGGCAGAGGTTGCAATGAGCCAAGATCGCCCTACTGCACTCCAGCTTGGGTGACAAAGACTCCTTCTCAAAACAACAACAACAAAAAACTTCTGATTCAATCCCAGTAGAGACATATTCCATATCTATGTCCTGAGTTGCTGGCGTATGGTCACATACATATAATATCATATTGTTATACAGTCATGTTATATGGTCACATAATTGTATCATTTTAGACTTGAGAGGCCCTGAAAGGTCACATTAATTGAACCACACACCCCTAAATTAAACAATATAATTTTTTTCTTTTCCCTTTTTTTTTTTTTTTTTTTTGAGACAGTGTCTCACTCTGTCTCCCAGGCTGGAGCACAGTGATACGATCTCAGCTCACTGCAACCTCCACCTCCCAGGCTCAAGCGATCCTCTCACCTCAGCCTCCCAAGTGGCTGGGACTTCAGGGATGTGCCACCACGTCCAGATAATGTTTTTGCATTTTTTGTAGAGATGGGGTGTCACTGTGTTGCCCAAGCTGGTCTCAAACTCCTGGGCTCAAGTGACCCTCCTACCTGAGCCTCCCAAAGTGCTGGGATTACAGGCCTGAGCCACTGCACCTGGCCAATAACTGTTCTGAGTAGCTTTTAAAGCCCACTAATGTTACATAGCTGGCAGGTCGGGTAGTTCATATTTCAGTGTCAGCTATGTTGATGCTGTTCCATTCATCGCCAGGCATGCCTCTAGCTGTCAGTCACTGAGCCCCGAGTTGGAGGACAGCTCTAACCAGCAGGTGCAGGAGCTTAGCCATGCATTGGGCCCCTTGAGCTGGGGCTGAGAGCAGAGAACAGGGCTGAAAGTGGATTAAGGCACAGCTCAGGGAGGGTACTTTGCCAGGAGAGGTGTGAAGACCTCCAAGCCCCTTTGACCGTACGCTGGTCCCCACACTGATCAATACCTTGCCTATACCGAACCATCAGGAGCTTTTAAACTTATGGATTTTTGAGCCCTGCCAGAGAGATCTGGATTTGGCAGGAGTGGGGTGGGACCCTGGAAGCCTGGCATTTCACCAGGCTTTCCAGGTGGTTTGGACGCACAGCCAGATTTGGGGACTTCTGCCCAAAACCGAAGCAGCAGCCTTCGCCAAGGCATCGCGGTGGTTCTTTACATTGCTCCTGCCGCGGGCTTCTGCCCCGGAACTGAAGTGGCTGGAGGGATGTGTTCTTCCCATAAGAAGGACCTTTTTCTCGGGAGTGACCGTCACGCAGGCAGCCTCTGGAGCCAGTGCAGGTGTGAGCACAGATAGTCCTTTACATGAAGAAACTAATAGAGCAACCCGGGACATGTGGGCGGCTTTGCTACCTGGTGGGCATTGAGAGGGTCTTCCCTTGATGCTGTGGGGTGTTCAGTAATTCCCATTTGTAGGAGAAATCCTGCCTTTCCCCAGTTCCAGTCTCCAGGACACATGGGGGTGGAGCTGCTGGATACAAGGAGTGGGGTGTCTGAGTCAAAGTAAAATGGAGAGGCCCATGCTTCAGGGGAGCCCTAGGGCTGCTGATTTGATCTGTAATGAAGCAGGAGCTGTGCCTTCTCAAGATCTCTCAGCCTCTTGGAAGGTGCGTGCAGGGCAGATCAAGATGGCAGAACCTTGGGAGTGGCCAGCCATGGGCCCACAGGGTTTGGGATTTGATGAGTGAGCAAGACTCCTGGTCCTAGGCACTGGCCATTGCACGCCAGGCTGCTCTGCTGCCAGAGCAGGGAGAACACCCTCAGCTTCCTCAGCCGGTGTATTCTAGAGTGAGGAATTGAAAATGTCTTCCCGTGGTTAGGTGACTCTTCAGGGGCTGTGGTTTGCAACTGTCTCCTCCACTCCGCGCAAGTCTTGTTATTTCACAAGAAAACACGCTTTCAAATAGCTCAATGTCTCAAGTCTGAGAAACACACATTGTCCATGGTTCACTGCATGTTCCAAGCAGGCACTGGGTGTCCTCCCCACCCCCGCCCCTTGCCGGCAGACAGGGGTGCCCATTTCTGGACAGAGCCTTCAGCTGTCCTGCAGCAGGTCCCCCTGCACAGTCAGCCTCCTGTGCTCAGACCTGTGTCTGACACGCTCACATGTGGAACAGACCGTTGTACTCACACCCCGCCATGTCCTTCAGATGACGCGGACCTGGTGGAGCTCAAGCAGGAGCTGGAAGCCGTCGGGGAGTTCCGCCACCGTTCTCCGAGCAGGTCTCTGTCGGTCCCCAACCGGCCTCGGCCACCTCACCCCCCGCAGAGACCCCCCCCTCCAAGTAAGACTCTGCTTGCTTTCAGCTCCCTGGATGCCTGCCAGGAATAACTGCGCATTCCCTGCCACTGAAAACATGGCTCAGAATCCACTTCTCCCCCGCCTTCAGGTCCCCACAGGACTTCCTCCTCCTCGGGCTCCTTTTTGTTGTAAATCCAGTACATGTTTGACGTCAGGGCTGGTTGTGTTTCTCATGGCAAATTAAATGGCTCCTTTGCAAAGCTGCTCTTCACCCTGGAGCTGTGCTTCTGCTTCAAGCTGCTCTCCCTCGGCAGCTTTAGAGGATGCAGAATGGGGGCAGCAGCTGTGGGAGGGACGTGAGCTTCGCAGTCAGACATCTCTCCTCAGCGACTGCACAGTCCTCCCTCTGCTTATGAGGAATCTGGTAAACCCAGGTCCCCTCCTGGAGGTGACCCAGTCACCCCTCTGCGCTCCCAGGCCTCCTGTTCCCCGGGCTCAGAACAAGCTCCCCCTTAGCCTGGGTCTAGGAGCATTTTCTTCTGGTTCCTCGAACAATGCTTTGCCCATCTAGCCCTCCCTGATAACCTGAAAGCAAAGCTGTGATGTGCTTTTGATCCACTTCCATTTTACCACCACTGTTTACTTCTCCCTCCCCAAAAATGTCATGATCAGACTTAGATCTTCCTAAGCCGTTACTTCAGAATTGGGCTTATCGTGGCTGACGTCACAGTAGTAACCAATGGCAAGCCACAAGCCCAGATATAAAATAAAAATAACCTAAAAATAAAATGTATAAGGCATGTATTATTGCGGAAATTTTAGAGATAATTACAAAGAACAAAATTTTAAAATTCACTTGATGATCTACAGATAATAGTTGTTACAAAAGACTTCTTTTTCCAGTTACGTATATCTGTAGCAACATACCTTTTTTTTTTTTAACAAAATTGGCTGGGCGTGGTGGCTTACGTCCTGTAATCCTAGCACTTTGGGAGGCCAAGGCAGGCAGATCATGAGGTCAGGAGATCAAGACCATCCTGGTTAACACGGTGAAACCTCGTCTCTACTAAAAATATAAAAAATTAGCCGGGCGTGGTTGTGGGCGCCTGTAATCCCAGCTGCTCGGGAGGCTGAGGCAGGAGAATGGTGTGAACCCAGGAGGCGGAGCTTGCAGTGAGCTGAGATCCGGCCACTGCACTCCAGCCTGGGCGACTGAGCGAGACTCCATCTCAAAAGAAAAGAAAAAAAAAATTAATACCCATTTTCTCTGGTCGGTTGTCTTTTATTTAATGGGGTTGTATTTTCTGTGTCATTAAGTGTTCTAAAACATTTGTTAATGGCTGCGAGTATATTTTAACAGTTTATTCCCCTGCTTTGCAATTTTTTTTTTTTTTTAAGATAGGCTCATTCTGTCCCCCGGGCTGGAGTGCAGTGGTGCGATCTCACAGCTCACTGAAGCCTTGACCTCTCTGGCTCAAGCAGTCATCCTGCCTCAGCCTGCCAAGTAGCTAGGACTACAGGCACATGCCATCAGGCTTGGCTATTTTTATTCATTTATTTATTTATTTTGTAGAGACAGTTTCACCATGTTGCCCAGGCTGGGGTTTTTGAAATATTTTTTTTCCCCACAAAATATTTTAAAACTCTGGTCCTAGTAACAGTGTTTGGAACCATTTCAAAATCGATTGGTTTTTATATCAGATCTGAATCCCCCAGGATGTTAAAGTTTGCATTCTAGTAATGCTTCTCCAGATCATCTACATCAATAGGCACACACGGGTAGAATCAAGTGAGAATCTCCACAGAGAGTCAAGGAAGGCTCTGTGGGTGCCCGAAGTGCCGAGTGAGTATTCGGACCTCACCGTGTCTGTGGTCTGCTGGGACATCCGCCTCGTCTAGTCGGGCTCCTGGCAGCTGACTGGAAAGTTGTGCCTTCACTGAGATTGAGACTCTGCCCTCATTGGTTTTTACAGCTGGTTTAATGGTGAAAAAGTCGGCTTCAGATGCATCCATCTCCTCTGGCACCCGTGGGCAGTATTCAATTTTGCAGACCGCAAGACTTCTGCCAGGAGCACCTCAGCAACCAGTGAGTTCTTCTGCATACATTTCAAACCTACGGGTTTTGCCCCCAGGATAGTGTGAGGTCTCTCTTCTCAATGAATATATAGATTTATGTGTCTTTAACCCTCTACCTGCTCACCGTCTCATCTCCACACCCCATGACCCTTCCTCACAGGTCCTCCATAGGGCTTTTAAATGGTTGTATGTAGTGTTCTAGAGAAAATCACTGTTGATGAAAAATCCCAAATATCCCTGGTTTCTAGATTCATCCATTTCTCTCTCTTCCCATTCTTGCCTCTGCCCTTGGTGTACGGACAGAGCGTTGCTTGGTAGAAGGGAAAATGGGAGAAATTCAGGTCATCATCCTGGGAAAATGATGATCATTCTGGAGTCAAGTTGGTTGAGAGAAGAGGCCAAAAGGAAACGTAAATAATGAAGTTGGGGAAAACAGTAGGAAGAGTAACAGCCATAGAGGACTGTGGAGGTGCAGGGTTCCAGAGGGTCCCATGGGCTGCTGGGGAAGAGAGCAGGTGAAGGCAGGGGAGTAGAGGGGAAGCCGGGTGCTGGGGGGGAAACTGCTATGACTGGGATGCCTCTGGGGTGCTGGGCCTGGTCAGGTGCTTGTGCAGCCCCAGCAGGTGCGGGGGTGACTGGAGGCCAGTGGTTTACAGTAGTGAAAATAGGTCATTAAGGCACACCAGATGCTGGATGAAGAAGTAGAAAAAAACACTTTTAAGGAAATACATATCTGGAAGCTATTTTAATAACTCAGCCGGACCGTGGAAAGAGTGGCCTCTGATTTTGCTTTCTGACTTTCACCTGGTTATTGAAATAAAGATAGATGATGGTCTGTCCATATACAAAAATCGGTAACCACCCAGCTTTGGAGACCAGGGTCATCAGGTCTACGTAGTGTGGCACTCTTGGAAAGAGAGTGCTCCGGGGAAGAGAGGATTGCAGGGTGTGGTGGAGGCTGAAGTTTGTATGGTCAGCATCGTCTGGTGGAGCCCTGCGCAGACGCATAGGTAGCAAATACGTCCCATGAGGCTATCTGCCTGCCTGTGCTGATACTCTGCTCTTCCTCATTCTGTCCTCAAGCCCAAGGCTCGGACTGGAATAAGTAAACCTTATAATGTCAAGCAGATCAAAACCACCAATGCCCAGGAGGCAGAAGCAGCAATCCGGTGTCTCCTGGAAGCCAGAGGAGGTAGGTGCCTGGGGGCAGTGGAAAAACCGATTCTTCTTTTCATCTCACCACTAAAAATGGTCTAGAAACAAAAATAACTCTTTTTATTCTTCTGGAGGCAATCTTAAATGAAAGCATCCTTTAGCAACATTTTATATAAATCTATACTAAGATTGATTGTTCATTTAAAATTGTATTTTCAAAATTCAGTATGTATATAAAAATCATCCCAGGGCTATTAAGCAGCATCTAAAGGAGAGACTGAAATAAACCAAAATGAGTTTTTAAAAAGGTGAATGCTGCCGGCACGAAGTCATTCAGCCAGCTTTATAAAACAGAGACAGTTACGGTGTTTGACCTAATTTCAGGCACAAAATCTACCTTTTAAATCACTGGCAAGTGGAAATAAAGTTTTTAGTGACAGGCAGGGACCTCTTTCCCACCACACTGTTTTTTGTTGCTGTTACTTAAACCATGTTAGTCAACTTGGGCTCTCCCCGGCTTCATTCATAATCACTGGTAATTTACACTTTTAGTTTTGGCCTTGGCTTTGTTCCAGAATCTCCTTTGGCAAGAGGAGAATGTGCCCTTTTTGTGGGTTTGTTGTTGTTGTTTTTTCTGAGACTGAGTTTCACGCTTTCACCTGGGCTGGAGTGCAGTGGCACAATCCCAGGTCACTGCAACCTCCGCCTCCCAGGTTCAAGCAATTCTCCTGCCTCAGCCTCCTGAGTAGCTGGGACTACAGGTGCGCACCACCATGCCGAACCAATTTTTGTATTTTCAGTAGAAATATGGTTTCACCATGTTGACCAGGCTGGTCTTCAACTCCCAACCTCAGGTGATTCACCCACCTTGGCCTCCCAAAGTGCTGGGATTACAGGTCTGAGCCACCACGCCCGGCTGAGTGTGCCCTTTGAAAAGGTATAAGCAATCACCATTGCCTCATTTGCTTTTAGTCAGCATGTTTAACTTCTTTGAAATTCTCAAATAATATTTAAGGGGGCATGAGTTAAAAGGTTGAGAACTACTGTTGTAGAATGATACTGCCACGAATGGTTTATTTTTTTTATTTTAGAAAAATAACTAAAACTAGGCCGGGCGCGGTGGCTCACACCTGTAATCCCAGCACTTTGGGAGGCCAAGGTGGGCAAATCACGAGGTCAGGAGATTAAGACCATCCTGGCTAACATGGTGAAACCCCATC